GAGCACTGGCTGGCACCCAGGCATTCATGTCTTTTGGCCTGAAAAAGATTTTTTAAATATATTTTTATTGCTTTCAGAGAGGAAGGGAGAAGGAGAGAGAGAAACATCAATGATGAGAAAGAATCATTGATTGACCACCTCCTGCATGCCCCACACTGCATGTACCCTGACCGGGAATCGAACCATGAACTGCTGCTTCAGAGGTTGATGCTCAACCACTGAGCCACGCCAGCCGGGCTTGAAAACTTTATTGTATTATCTCTTTTATTTCTTCTGTTTTCTCTTTCTGAACTTCTTAGTTTCATCAAAGACATCTATATTTATGATTTTCACGTCTTGTTCTTTAAGAGGGATTTCTGAGCAAAGAGGGGAGAGAGAGGTCTATACTCTGCCATCTTAAAAATAGAAACTGAGGTAACATTAACTTTATTACATTGATTAGAGCTTTAACTGGCAGTCATCTTTTTACTTAACAAAAAGGGGGAGGGGGTGTGAGCACTGATTCTTATTAAATAATAGGCCTTCTGTGACAGACACAAAATTTTAAAACTAGGCCCCCTGGGAGCTTGGAAAAGGTCCTCCTGCACCCTCGGCCTAAGGATGGGGAGCACCGTAGAGAATGAGCAGTGTCACCGAGTCCAGAGGAGGCAGATGTGCTGGAGAAAACACCCCACGAGGGACGTGAGGGATCCAGATAACAGGACCAATTAATAGAACTGAAGTGGCCTGGTGCCAACAAGGGTCCCGTGAGCCTCTTGACTAATAAGGTGCTAAGATTATATTTATGTTTTTGGGCACAATAAAAGGCAAAATTACTATAACTAATTAGCATACTTTTTTTTTTTTAACTTACAACAGGCCAAAGGCCTTCAGAGTTACAAAACACTTGGAATACTCCTTCTCAAAGGCGTACTCTTTGTCCAGCAGGTACAGTCCCTTCTCCCCAGAGAGCCAGTGGGAGGTGGCAGTCTGCTCACAGGAAGCATGATTTAAGGACATTCCACCTGGAATGTGTTTGCTCCCAGCCCCATCAAGGGCAGAAGGCCAGTTAGTCAGGTGTTATGACGACACTTGCAATATATCAACGCCTGCAGCTCTAAGTTGGAGACACAACCCTGCTGGCCATCGACGAGTCAAATGGAGCCAATAACGTAGGGCACCTCTCAGTAAGGAAAGGGTCATTCACACCAGCACCCACTCATGCGCCCCCTGAACGCCACTGCCCCATTTCTGTTTTCTTTCATTGCAAAAATCCTGGGAAGAACTCCCGTGGCTTCCTCACCTCCCATTCTCTCTCCAATGGGAAAACCTCTTCTCCTTGTCACATACCCTCCACCAGCCATGCCCTTCCCTCTGGAGAACCTGTTTTCTGCGGTCTCCCAGTCTTTTTCTTCTTTCCATGCCCTGGGAGCTCCCTCCTAAGCCCCTCTTCATCCCCATCTCCCATCCAAAGCCACTACAGGGGGTAACCCGGCTGGCCCCTGTCCTCTCTCCCTCTGCACCCAGCACCTGCCCCATCATCTCTTAGCCCATGGCCCCAGTCCAGCGTTGGCCCTCCCAAGGCCCTGGACCCCACCTGATGCCTGGTTCCTGGCACCACCCAACATTTTGTCAATATTTCTGCAAAAGTGTTTTTACAAAATACTATTCCCTGCACTTAAGCTGACAGCTTCAACTGGCATCCTTGGTTCAAACAGCTGCAAGGAATATAACTTCCAGTATAAGTATTGCCTTCTTAAAATAACAGCGTATGTCACTCTTCTAAACATGTCCCCTGGGCCCCAGCACTGCGGTGTGACGCCCACTGCCATCTACTATGAAACACACCAACGACTCTTTACATCGGGAAGCTCACAGCACTTCTTTCTCTGTGGTCTGTCTCCACCACTGCAGACACTGAGCCCAATGTTACATATTCCTGCTCAAGACGACTCTACTGATCACACTTTAAATAGGCATAGGAAGCTATTAGTCTTGACTTTGTATGGCCATTAGGGTGTGCTAATTTCTTCTGGATTGAGTTATTATTGCAATCACTGAGACCCCACTGAGCACCACAGGAAATGCAGCGTCGGCTTCGGTGAATAGTCAGTCACCTTCAGTGAGGCGGGTAGGGCTTTCCCCCACAACCAGTTCACAGATCATGGGCAGATGTTCACCTCTGCCCCGTCTCCATGTTTATAATGTGAGTGCAGGAAATCTTGTTCCACAGACAAGACTGGAATGGAATGGAAGATGGGAATGGAAGAGCTTGATTATGGCAGTGGCCCACAGCCACTCACCAAGGACACCATAAATGCCAACGGTCCCCACTTCCTCCGGCAGCTTGAGGGCGCCTTCCACCTGCCAGAAGTCCGAGGTCTTACCCCACAGTGGGCTCACTCCCCATACACCCACACATCTGTGGACACCCTGAGATTTCCACACCCCAGGACCTCGGCTCACACCAAGATTGGGGATGGGGTCGCCGTCTCCTAGAGGAAGAGGAAGGTGAGGGACCTGTGCCCTGGGCCAGGGTTAATCCCGCCCCAGAGGGGCAGTTTGAAGATGCCGCTCATCTGCAGGGCCCTGATTCCCCCTAATCACCTCCCGCCCCTGCACACCTGTCATATGCACCTCAGTAAATGGCACCTCCTGTCACTCACCACACATTCCCTAACCAAACCAACAGCAAGACCTGCCTCGCTCTGGAAATACACATTGTCCTCACTCCTCATTTCCCCTTCTTTCTCCCCCATTTCTAGTGGAATCTTGTGGGGCCTGGATTCCCCATGTGTCAGCCACAGGGTCATCTCTGAAAAGACACGGATTCTGTCCCTCCCTCCCCAAAGCCCCCAGTGACATCCACTTGGCACTCAGGATAAACCCTGGTGGACAGCCTGTGCGGCTGCCCTGTGCTTCCTCCCCCAGCCACACGGGTCCTTCTCATCCTTGGGCACACAAAGCTGTTCCCACCCCAGGCCCTTTGCACTTGCCATTCATCTGCCAGGGACACCCTCACCCCAGATCTCCACTGAGCCTCTCAAAGCACTGGTCTCCTGCTCAGATCTTTCTAGTCCTGACAGCCCGAGTGCACCCACCCCTACCTATACCACCGCCTCCACCTGCTGGCGATCCTTCCCGCTCCCTGCTCTAACCACTGCCAACCTGACAGTCTTGTTTATTGGCGATACCTTCCTCCCTCCAGACCGTGAGGTCCACCGAGCAGAACCTCTCTCTCGCTCTCTGTAGTGCCAGGCATGTCATAGGTGCCATTTCAAAAATACTTGTTGAATGAATGGACTCATGAACGATGAGGTAAACTGGACAGGGACCACCCACACTTCACACCTGTGAGAAGGACGCGAGGAAGCATTTAAGTCCCTGCTTTCCATCCTAACCTCTGGAGCCACGTGTCTGAGAGCTGCCTTAAACCTGCAAAATGGCAGAGTGTTCCCTTCCTGACCTTCTGCAAAGACGGTATGGAAGGAGCGGCGCCTGAGGCGCGCCCTAAGGAATGGGGCTCTTTCCCAGATACAGCTTCTCCAAGAAAAGCTACTAACCCCTACGGCGGTTAATTTTTAAACTTATTTGTCTTCCGAAAAACCAACTGTCCCTTCTACTTCCAGATCCAAACAGATCATTACGTTCCTTGCGGGCAACGTTTCTGCAGACGCATGAATCCAAGCGATCACGGGGTAACGGATAGATGTTACTGCCTTTTCCTTTCACAGCCCAAACCACGGTTCTCCTCTTTCTTAGCCATCGCCACAGGCGGCGATGTCAAGTCAGGGATGCAGACAAGCGGAGTGGAGCCGTGAAAATGCGGAGACTGTGAGAACGTCCAGGCTGGGAAACAATGTGGTGTGGGGTGTGTGAATGGGGGGGGGGGGGTCCCTCACTATAAAAACCAAGTACCTTACATATGTGCACTCTCTGGGCAGAGTTCTCATCCTGAGATACATTTTAAGATTTATCTCAAAACCAGTTGTCCATTTTCTTTTCATCCTTAAAAGCACCTTCAGGGACGAAGCTGGGTTCTCCAAATGCATCACGGGGGTCGGGCTTTTACGGGAGGGGCCGAAGCAAATGTGGTTTTTGCAGGCGGGCATCTTTTCTGACCCACAGGGGCCCGCCTGTCTCCGCTCACAATGGTTCCTACCATGTCCATCTGCCCTGGCGAGGGGCGAGGGGAGGGAACAGGCCATTTCTGAGCGTCTGTGGGAACGCCTCGTCCACCCCATTAAGAGCCCCACAGAGGTAAACACACAGTAACCGAGCGGCCAGGCGGGTCTGTGTGTCCGTGAGCTCGCACACCTGCCCCACCGGAGGCTGCAGGCCTGGCCCTCCACCTGTCTGCGCCCGGTGCCCCTCCCCGCGGCCACCACCCGAGGGCGGGCACCTGCCAACTGTCCCCGCTCTGCCTGCCTCCCCTCTGCCGCCCACGGGGTTACAGAAGCAGGACGCAGGGGGCTCTCGGGGGCGCGAGCAGCCCCGCCGCCCGGACCCCCAATTCTCTACCCGCGGGGCGAAGGCCCAGGGACCCTCCCGTGCGCCCCGGGGGCTGTGCCCCGCGTGGAGCGAGCGACAGCACGAGGGGGCAGTCGGCGACCCAGGCCCCGGGGGCGGGGACGCGGGCCGGGGGCGGAGGAGCCCCCCCGCGCCGCGCCCACGGGAGAGCGAGGCCCGTGGCCCGCGCGGGCAGGGACGGTGGGCGCTGGGCGGCGGGCCCGGAGCGCCCCGGCGGCGGGGCGGGCGGCGGCCGCACGCAGGGCGATCCCGGAGCGGCTCCGGGAAATCCAGCCGGGTTTTGACTCCGATCGCCCACGGTGCCCGCAGCCGGCGAATGTAACAAAGAACAGTCGGCATGGCGGCTGGACCGGGGCGGCGGCGGCGGCGGCGGCGGGCGGGCGGGGCCGGGACGGCGGGCGGGCGGGCGGGCGCGCGGGTGAAGGGGGCGCGGGCCGGGCGGGGGCGGCGCGCGCGGGGGCGGCCGGCGGGCGCGGGGCCCCAGGCTTTACCTGCCTTTGGAATGTGCAGAGCGGGATCGGATCCGGACTCCGGGTTGCGATCCGCTCCGGAAACTGCGCAGCACCGGAAGCCGGGGGGCGGCGGCGGGGTGTTCTGGGAGTTGTAGTTCGCGGCGGGGAGAGGGCGCGGGCGGCGTGGCTCGGGAGCGGGCTGCCTGGACGGGGCGGCGTGGACCGGGAGCGGGCGGCGTAGCCCGGGATCGGCGGCGTGGACCGAGGTCCCGAACTGCCTGGACGGGGCCGCGTGGACCGGGAGCGAAAGGCATGGACTGGGGAGAAGGAGACGGGGTGAGCTGGCTACTGGATCCGGATCGTCCGGGAGAAGAGGCCGGGTTCCGACGGCCCTTTCCCTGGAGCGGGAGGAGGTGCCTGGTGGCCACGCGCTACCCCTTCCCACGTGGCGTGGTTCGGCCCCGCAGCCCCCGCGGAGAGGCGCACGGACGGCTCGCACAGCCCTCTATGCTTCTGGTGGCTCCGGCGAGCCCTGATTTCTTTTGAGGGCCAGTGGGAGAAGGGGTCGAATTTTTTTATTTTTTTTTTAAATCGGGCTTGAGGTTTGCTGCCCAATCACAGTTTCTGAATTTAGCCGCTGGGCTGCTGCGATTCTTGGCATCTTTCTTGTGCGTCTGTAAACTTCAGCGCTCGCTCGGCTCCCAACGAGCGTAAACTAGAGGCCCAGCTTCTGGCTGGCGAGAGGCAGAGCTGGGCATTGAGTCCAGGCGGAGTGGGCTGCCCGCCCTGAGCCACGGTGAGGCCAGACCATTTCCTGGCACCCAGCGTTTCTGCCCCCTTCCCCTACCAGGCTTGGTTAGCTTGTGTGGCCTCCACCCCTCCATCAGTTGTAGTGTGGAAACAAAATATTAGAAATGGAAGGGAGTAGAGGGTCTTTTAACCTGGTTCTGGCCTTCCCGAGTCAGAGAAGTAAGCTGCCTTGTTCATTTCTGCCTGGCCAAAACCCCCATTAGTAATGTCAAAAAGAGGTGATGACCTGGGGGGAAATTATTTGAAATTGGTATCAGCAAGGACTCAAGTCCTTATGAATCAATAAAACAGTAAGTAACCCAACAGAAAAACACACAGTCTATGAACAGTTCACAGCAAGGAAAATACAACGCTCCTGGTCAGTGTGGCTCAGTGGTTGAGCATTGACCTGTGAGCCGGGAGGTCATGGTTGGAATCCCTGTCAGGACCTGTGCTGGGGTGGCAGGCTGATCCCCTGGAGGGGGCGTGCCCGAGGCAGCCAATCAATGATTCTCTTTCATCGTTGATGTTTCTCCCTCCCTCTCTCTTCCTCTCTGAAATCAATAAAAATATGTATGTTTAAAAATACAATGGCTCGGAAGGTTATGAGAAGCCACCCACCTACTGTAATAAGAGGAAAAGTAAATTGCAGTGAGATCATTTTTATCTGTCATATTAGCAAAGACTTTAAAAGTATATTCTCATTATTTTGAAGAGACTAGTAGAAAATCAGCTCTCCCTTCCTTTCCTGGTGGGAGAAGGAGCTGGTATAGAGGGGATTTATCCGGCAGCCAGGTTCACGCGTATGAGGTTAGTCCCACGTCCCCAGGTGGGAGGAGGACCCTTGGAGAGGAAGGTGTGGGGTGTCATGCTGCGAGGGGCTCATTTCTCTGCCCTCCCCGACACCCTGCAGTGACTTCCCCTTGGCAGTGACAGTAGTTCTGGACCACAGCCTCCCAGGCCTTTGGGCGTCTCACCTGTGCCTCTCACCTCCGCCCTGCTCATACTAGCCGAGCTGCTTTGTGTTCAAACATGTTCTTGGGGTCTTTTGTGCCCATCCCCTCCCTCTTGGAACACTCCCGAGTTTTCCACCATTATCCCTTCATGCTTCAGGCCTTTGCCCAGATGCTCCCCAACCTCTTAACGGCAAACAACACAACTGCTCATATGTACCCGCCACACTCCCACGCCCCCCTTCTAGTGACGGCACTTGCAATTCCCAAATGCCCAGGTGGCTGTTCTCTGCGCCTCTGCACACTAAATATGTACCAGGACACATACACAAAAACAGGTCACTTACAGAAAAATTGACAGGTCACAGCAAGAGTGAAAAACTAGATGAGCTCAACCGCCATCGAGCCGTTCTCAGCGCTGCCCTGAGCACGGCTGCGGTTCAGAGTCACAGCATCCTTGCCTCTTCCAAAGGACTCTCTGTGTTCAGGATTCTCCTTCTGTGAAGGCTGGAAATAGGGTCTTTTAAGACAGACTCACATCCAACGTTTTTGAGTTAAAAATTTTGTTGATTACAACGAATGCAAACTCTGAACCCCGGGCAGAAAACAAGGAAAGGCTCCTGTAAAGGTTGTTCCCGGGGAAATTTGAATATGGACTTGGTACTGGCTCACAGCATCGCATCAATGAAAAAGCTTCCAAGCATGAACATTGTGTTGAGTGTCTGATGGGGGGATGGCCTGTTAGAAAGTGCATTCTGAAGCATTGTGGGTGAAAGATGATTATCTCAAAATGTGACAGAATTGGGAATCTAGGTAATGAGTACATAGGTTATTCTGTAGGTTTGAAATTTTAAAAAATAAGTTGGGGGGATTTAAGTAAACATAAATAAGTTTCCGTTATTATCAGTGGGTTTTCCTAAGAACATGGTATTCTTCCCCAGCAGCTGGCATTAAGGTGTAACCACTCCATTGTGTGGCCCCAGATGGGGATGATACCCCAGCCCTGACACTGGCCTGCCTTAGACATGTACTTTCCCACGGACACGTCCCATCCGCTCTGGCTCTTTGCTAATCCTATATAATAAAAGGGTAATATGCAAATTGACCCTAACAGAATGACTGGGAATGACTGGTCACTATGACACACACTGACCACCAGGGGGCAGATGCGCAATGCAGGAGCTGCCCCCTGGTGGTCAGTGTGCTCCCACAGGGGGAGCTCTGCTCAGCCACTAGCCAGGCTGACGGGTGCCAGCACAGCGGTGGTGGTGGGAGCCTCTCCCGCCTCCTCGGCAGCGCTAAGGATGTCCGACTGCAGCTTAGGCCTGCTCCCCGCTGGCAAGTGGACATCCCCCGAGGGCTCCCAGGATGTCAGAGGGATGTCTGACTGCCAGCTTAGGCCCGATACCCCGAGGAGCGGGCCTAAGCCAGCAGGTGGACATCCCCCGAGGGATCCCAGACTGCGAGAGGGCACAGGCTGGGCTGAGGGACCCCCGAGTGCACAAATTTTTGTGCACCGGGCCTCTAGTCTATATAATAAAAGCCTAAGCAACCTTTATGGTGGAACGCGCAGAACGACTGGTCGCTATGATGCACACTGACCACCAGGGGGCAGATGCTCAATGCAGGACCTGCCACCTGGTGGTCAGGGTGCTCCCACAGGAAGCCGGGCTCATGGCTGGTAAGTGCAGTGGTGGTGGCAGGAGAGGCTAGGGCTATCCTAAGCCACTTTTTAAAAAAAATTTTTTTTATTAATTTCAGAGAGGAAGGGAGAGGGAGAGAGAGCAGCAGATAGAAACATCAATGATGAGAGAGAATCATTGTTCGGCTGCCTCCCCACATTCCCCCCTGGGGATCGAACCCTCAACCCAGGCATGTGGCCTGACCAGGAATTGAAGTGGGACCTCCTGGTTTGTAGGTCAATGCTCAACCACTGAGCCACGCCCCTCGGCCCTAAGCCACTTTCCTATACCCTCTTTAGCGTTTGTTTTCAATCTGGCCAATTTTCCCCATCCAGATAACGGATAAAGTCATCAGCAGATAATTCAAATCCTTCTATGTGCAAAGCATTGCATCTCACTTTGTAGTATTCTCACCCATAGGGGGAGCACTACACTTAAAGTTCAGGAAAGACCATATGAGGCCACAAGTCCTGTTCTCTCCAACACAAGGTGGTAGAGACTCGTGGTTTTGAACATGGGTGAGGATTCTGTGGTGCAGACCCATCCCTCCCAGCGTCCGCTGCTCTCACCCCCCGCTGCACACTCACCCATGGGCCTGGGCTGACAGGAGGGTCAATGCAGGAGTAAAAGCTTCTACTCTAAGGGGACAGCACCCCTCAGGTCTGGGGGGGTCACCAAGGGTCCCACAGCCACTTCGCGCCAGGTTTCGCTGCTGGGGGACCAGGCCACGTGGCCCCCACAATTCACCATGACCCGAGAGTTCACTGCAAACGTTTCCTTCTAGTAAGTGGGTTAGCCTTCGCCGCCGCTGCTGGGGCAGGAGCCCAGCGAGGAGGACACCTCCCTCCTCCCGCCAGCTGACTCTGCCGGTCACGTGCGGTCACGGTCATGGCTGAGACGCCGACACAACCAAGGCCGGGTGCTGGGCCGCTCAGAGAAACGCGGGAGCTCACGGTCTCGGCAAAAAAACCCTCAGATTTCCGTGTTCCATGTGCACGTTTATTTCTTTAAAGAGCACCCATGTCCCAGCCACATCTTCTCCAGATGAACCCACTGCAGGGCTGGCGCGGGCCTGGAACCGGGTTCTAAAGTGCTACCAAGGAATACAATCATCGTCTTGCAAATTCATCAACCAGCGGGCAAGCCAGCCCTTTCCCCTAGAAAACCTGTTTTCTCCCATTTTAAAATGTAACTTCAGTGTGACATCGGGCAACAAAAGCACAAGCCTCCGTTATAAATGGTACTTTCCCGACGGTGGGAAGCTGGCGGGCTGGGCAGGTGCCTCCTCACACGGGAAGGAGGGATGCTCGGGAAAGGACCCGGGGGACCCAAGTCTGCTGTGCAGGTCTTAGCGGGCGGGTCCCTGTGCCCCTCACTTCGGTACCCAGCCTGGGCGGGTTGGGCAGTGGCATCGGGGTCTGCTTGCCACCTGGCGGAGGTAAGCGTCCTGACCCCCAGTGCCCACCAGCTTGTACAGTGAGGTTCCCAGGGCCGTGAGACTATTACTCAGGGAGCATCGCACTGGGCGCAGCAGTGCACATTCACCTTCCTCTCCTGCTCAAGATTTGCGACTCTGCTCCCCATGTGGCCAGAAGCTCCATCACCATCTGGGCAGGCTTCTAATTTGTGACTGGCTGGCTGCGCCTGGCCTGGCGGCCATCCCCAGGAACCCCAGGCTGGCTTTGAACTTCAACTTGAGCCTGGATCTAAGTGAAGTCTCTGTCTAAACCTCCCTCACAGCAGGTTTTGAACAGAACAGCGAGACGGATACTTTCGTTAATGCCACATTAAAGCCCGCGCAAACTCCATCTCCTTCCTCCACAAAGACCACAGGGGGGTCCTTACGCAAAGCGCGGAAGCGTAGCCAGCGTGTTACAACCAGCGTGTGCTCCGGGTCCAGATGGACCGGGCCGATGAGTGTTCATGAGGAATCACTCTGAAAAAATTTCATCAAAACCAAAACTCGAGCCCTCACGCCACTAAAGCGTGTGGAAAGGGTAAGGGGATCGGTGACTCACAAATTAGTGTGTTTTGTATCCGGTGTGTTATCGTAATTGGTATTACACCTTAGTGACATTGACTTTAACATAAATACCCGACACCTTTAAGAAACAAACCTGGATACACAGCTCGGGAAGGACACATTCACAGTATAGACACAGCCCTGCCTCGCGGGGCCGCCTGACGGCATCTGTCCTTCTGTTCCCGCTACATTTGCCTCTGAAACGTCAGGAAAGGCCAGGATGGCGGCCAGTGTGTGCGCCTGGAGGACGGGCTCCCGGATCAAACTCAGGACAGAGGTCTCACGTGTACCCAGCACACACGAAGAAACATGGACCTCATGACGACGCGCTCTCTTCCGCGTCCACTCACTCGCTTCACGCACGAGGGTGAGAGGGAGCCCGCCCGCCGGGCACCTTCCCAGGAGCCCGGAGAGGTTTCAAGTCACGAGGACGTTGAGGAAGCGGAGCCCTTGGCGAAGAGTAAACAGTGGACAGGGTGCTCCTGGGGCCGATCTGGGGACGGCAATGGCTGAAACGTTGTGGTTGTGTTTTGATTTTTGAGAGCGAGAAAAACTCAGTCTAAAACTCTGATACCTTCACACTGGAGCTGATTGAGTCCCTCTCAATTCCAAACTTAAACACGGAACTGTACTAAGAACTTCTGACCAGTGTCATCTTCTCACACATCAGTCCCCTTAGAATTAATTCGTGCGTGTTCCATGTCCGCTTACCATGAGAAAGGACAGGAATCCTTCAAGCAAAACACAACGAACGTTAAAGCGACCCTCGGTCCCAAAAAGGCCTGTAGTGGTTGCTGACCCTGGGGATGAGTTTGGAATTCATGTATTTCATAATGACAGGTGCTACTTTACAATGATTAAAATTGGAATATCATCTTTAAAAACAAAGTATGGTTAAAAAAAAAAGTCACTTTACAGTCCCTTGATTGCTGGGACACCTAAGAATTTTTAAATATGTATTATTTTAAAGTGAAATTCTTAATGCAGTCTTCCAATTCCTCCCTCCACATAAAGGAAGGAAAGGATTCTATAATTTTGGTTTTAGAAAGGTTTTAGCTCATCAAGAGCTCTCTTACCCCTGAAATAGATGTTTGAGGATTAACAGAAGTGTCTGTACAGAGGAGTCCCCCCAAACTCACATCCGTGACAGAGGCTGAGTTTTCGTAACAGCCTTTTACAGCTCACTGGGGGGAGATGACTCTGATTAAGCCGTCAGCACCCTTCACGCTGACGATGACTCCTGTTAACGAGCCCGTTTCCCGCAAGTGGCACTTTCAGGAGTGGAGCAGCGTGACAACTGTGACTGAACCCAAGTGGCTCCTGCCGTGGGATGTGCTTGGAAAGTCACGGAGGATATTGAAGTTGTATAGCAAGCTTATCGTTTGATCCACTGGAAATAAAAACACACCTTCCCCCCAAAGTCTGCCAAGTCTGTTCACAGTAGAATTCAGACGAGCTCCTGGAAGGAATCGGATGCAAGCCTGGCCCGTGTTTCACTAAACTTCCCTTCCTAAGACTCACACCTGAGACATAAAATAATTTCCTCTTTTGCCCAAAAAGTACTTTGTTTCAGCTACTGGCAATATTTGGCAAACCAACGTCGGACGAGAGAAAATCCAGGTATGTGTGTGTGGGTACCACGTTCTCTCGGCTGTCACTTACTGCTCCTAAGTGCATTGGAGAGGCGCGCTGCACCCGTTTCGTGTGAGCCAGACAGGGGGAAAGTCCACCGTTAGAGCTTTGGACACTAGAGAAAGTGTAAAAACCATATAAGAATTTATATATCTCCCACTTGTAAATAGGCTCAACGTACACTTAGGAAAGTGTTCAGCATAATATGCATAGGATATATTTAGTATTTGCATAATTTTTCAAGTTCTATGGCTAATAGCAAAGGCAAATGTCTTCCCACATTTGTCATAGTGTTTCCATTCCTATCGTAATTTCTCTATTCACCCAAATCTGCCTGTGCCCCACCTCTCTGGCCCCGGGGCCCGCTGCACTGTTCTGTCCTGAGCAGCCAACAGAAGAGGTGACCTATGCATCGTTCGCAGTGACAGCACAGAGGGTCGTCTGCTCCTTGTGACGTGGTCCAGGCGTGGACCCCAAGCAATACCCGTTGGAGCAGCGCGTGGGTGAAACTGAGGCCCCAGCCTGGCCCGTCCACGCCCACTGCACTGTGTTCTCTAGTTCATAATGGAAACCTCCTCCCGACATTGAACTTCAGCCGCCGGGCGGAGTCCCCCCTCCTCTGGCGTCGGGTGGTAAACAGGTTCGGTCAGTTCTCTCTGGGGAAATCTCAGACTTTTCTTCCCCTTCAAAAAGCGACACTGCCGGGAAAACCCCAGCTAGACCGGCCTGCTGGCATCCCACTCCGTCCTGGCGGGTCGTTAGCGGGTCCACATCTCCAGCATCGCCACGAAGGAGGCCGCCCACCTGGACCTACACCCCGGGGTCCCTGGGGGCGCCGTTCATGGCAATCTTGCTTCTGTGCTTGGACAGCAGCTTCTTGTTGAGGATCCTGGAGAGCGTGGCCCCCTTCCTCCGCGCCCCCTCCGGCTGCTGGAGGAACACCAGGTCGTTGTGGGACTGGCTCAGGCTGGGGTCCTTCTGCTGATGCCGCCGGCGGAAGAAGAGCTTTGCACCTCTCCTTAAAATGCCTCCTGGAAGAGCAAAGCACAGGGGCTGGTCAGCGGGGCTGTGGGCGAGAGGAACCCTGGAGGGACTGGGCCAAGGTGAAAAAGAAAAGAGGAGACGCGAATGACTCTAATAAGCAGCTCATTACTCCAGGAGCACCGCTGTTTGCGTGAGAAAACGGCTGGTGTCTGGCTTGTGCAAAACACAAGATGAACTGAAAGGAGGATTATGAAAGTAGAAGCAGTGAGCTGGACTATCACCTGGTATCCATGCCAGGGCAGGGATTTCTATCATTGACTCTAACCAGATGGCAGCAGCCTGTCCTGGCCTTGGCCACTGGGGTCCCCAGCCCCCTACCCCCTGATTTGGTATGGTTCAACCAATCTGTATGTAATAGGGAGTGGAATATGCAATGAAAAAAAATTAGCAGCAGCACAAATAATTTCAACAGCAAGGATTCCTTAAAGACCAAATGCAAGCTAACACGGCAACAGAACTCACTAATCTTACCCTTTCACAAATTAGCTTAACATCCCATTAACCAAGGCCCAGCAAGGTCAGGGAGCCTGTCCAGCGAGTCTGTGAAGTTCATTACCACTCATGGAGGTGTTAGTGACTTTGAAAGAAGACAGACCTGCAGATCACAGAGGGAGCTTTATGGATAATTTGGCAATTCACTCTTTTCCTGATAGACAGGTCTGACAAGTTCTTCAACAGCCAAGACTCACAAAAATACCCACTATGTCCCTAGTAAGGCATTAATCACCTTAGTGCCCTCTTGTGGATACTCTGGGAACAGCACTCTGGGAACAGTAAGGGATTATTGCCACAGTGCCCTCGTGTGTACACTCTTGGAACAGCACCCCATGAAGGCTTAGTCACTATAGCGCTCTCTTGTGGACACTCTGGGCACAGCACTCTGGTAAGGGATTAGTTGCGATGGAGCTCTTTGGTGGACACTCTGGGAACAGAACCCTAGAAAGGGATGTCATGACAGCGCCACCTTGTGGACACGATGGGTGCAGCACCCTAGTAAGGGAATAATCGCCATAGCACCCTCTTGTGGACACTCTGGGAACAGCACCTTAGTAAGGGATTAGTTGCCATAGTGCCCTCATGTGGACTCTCTTGGAACAGCACCCTGGCAAGGATTGGTCCCCGTAGCGACCTCTTGTGGGCGCACTGGGAACAGCAGCCTAATAAGGGATTAGTCATGACAGCACAATCTTGTGGACAATCTTGGAAAAGCAACCTAGTAAGGGATTAGTTGCCATAGTGCCCTTGTGTGGATTCTCTTAGAACAACACCCTGGTAAGGGGTTAGTTGCCATAGCATAGCAAGCTCCTCAGCAGGGAGGAATACTAAATGGAGCTGCCTTGGCTCGCGCTCCTGTGCGGTCAGTTTTCTGTGTCAGGGGATCCCATCAAACCTGGCCTGGGTGTGGCTGTGGAGGCACGTGGTGGGCGTGGGGGGCTCATACACCCCAGTGGCCTGAACTGAAGATGACCCTGTACTGTGGATGGGCTCCACCCAATCCACTAAATGCCTAAAGAGCAAAATCCAAGGTTTCCCGGAGAAAAGAAATTCTGCCTCCAGACCCTCGTCAGCTCCTACTGCGTCTCCCGCCTTCAATTTCCGACCCGTCAGCCCCCAGAGTCACCGAGCCCATTCCCTGGTATGGAGCCTATTGGCTCTGGTGCTCCGAGAACCCTGACCAACGATGCCTAATAGCCTGGTACACGGCACCTGATTCTGGGCCCACAGTCTGGAGAGGAGCCGGGCTGGTGGGCTTTCCAAACCTAACTCCCTTATCCCTGCTGCCTGCTCCACCCAACAGGCAAGAAGCAAGACTCACCCACCACCTTAACGACTCCCGAGGGTAAAACTGGGAGCCACGTTATGTGAAATTTGAGGCAAATAACCAAAACTGTAAAGGGGGACAGGAAGAAGGGAACAAAATCTTTCCCTGGTTCTAGCAAAGTTAAAGACTAAAGAATAAAGAATATATGAAGGGATTTTAACATTTTTTCTAAGTTACAGCTTGAATAAATATATGCCTGTGTGTCCACAGAGTTTAACAGACATAAATAGCTCATTGCAGAATTTGTCTGAAACCCTAACGGGAAGGAAAACTGACCAAAGCAACCTTACAAACTGCAGTCTGCTGCCCAAAGAGCAGCGTGGACTTCCGGCTGACCCACGGACGGTCTGGGTGTCTCGGTGGCTGCTTTTTAAAAAAAATCATGTGTGTTTTTTTTTATTGAGAGAGAGAGAGAGAGAGAGAGAGAGAGAGGAAGAGAGAGATACACCAACATCCATTGGCTGCCTCCTGCACGCCCCCTGCTGGGGATGGAGGCCGCAACCTGGGCATGTGTTCTGACTGGGAATTGAACTGATGACCTCTTGGTGCCTGGGTCAACGCTCAACCACTGAGCCACACTGCCCAGGTGTCAGTGACCGCTCCTTAGACCTGGAGGAAGTTAGGGGCCAGTCTGTGTGCACGAGGTTGTTTGGGCCCAACAGGTAACAGAGACATGCCCCCCCCCCCACCCCAGATTGGCCGAGACAAAGGCGCTACACTAACCGTGCAGGGAGGTGAACTAGCACCCGGGGAAGTAAAACTAGAAAGGTAGGGGGAACGGACAGGACGGGGATGGGTCCCTGCTATGTTACAGCCATAGCAAGGCTACGTTTTAAAATACATATAAGACAAAGACAACTTACTGTGCAGGCAATTAATTCTGGTTGGCACAGCGATCCTCTTAGTAAAAGGGAATGAGCACGAGATGGAGAGGAGGTAGCAAGCATGCGAGAGCAAAATGAGAACGAGAGACGGTGAGTGCTGAAGCGCTGACATGACACACACACGCGAGTCACTGGGCAGGGCGCTCGCAAGCCTCTGTGTGCTTATCACACGTTTGTGTTCGCTGCGGTAAAACACACGCAACATACACTCGACCACCTCGGCCATTGCCAGGGCCCGGGTCAGGCGTGGGAAGTACATTCCCATTGCCATGCAACCACGTCAACACGGGGTGAGCTCAACATAAGCCCGACTTGGGGGAGTAACTTTCCTGTATTGCCTGCAGCGTCACATTTGCAAACAGCAGGCCCCAGGATTCTGCACACACAGCCACGCTCGGAGACCTAGCACAGAGCTCCTTGCTACCCCAGAAGATACGGGCTCTTACGCCAAAACAATAAGCTTTAGGCCCGCTCCCTATATCACCATTTCAAAACATTTTGGTGGAAAACAGCAAGGATGTGGCCCCCGTATCAGGGAAACATCGAGGGCCTGACACCATCTCTGAGGGCCGAGTGCCAATCGCTTCGAGCACTGGGACCGAGAGCAGCTTTCAATCCTCGCCCTGTCCCTTGAAAGCCCGTCTGCAGGGCTCCAGGCTCCACATCCTCGCAGCCGCCCCAAATGCCAACCTTGGTGGCGCTCAGAGCAAGAGCTGGAAGCGGGGGCCCCACACCTGCCTGGCACCTTGGTCCCCAAAAGCGCCTTTTGGAGGGTGTCAGCCACCTGGCTGGTGGCGGGAAAGGAGCGGGAGGGCCACACACAGCGGGATGGAAACCCAAGGGGGGGGGAGGGGAAAAGGAGGATCAGGGTCCGGGAATGGACCTGGGTCAGCGAGGCTGGCCTTTTGGAGTGACCCGGGCGGCGGGGTGGGAGGTCTGGGTTCTGAGGGTGGAAATGAAGGGAGGGAAGGGGCCGCCTACCTGCCTGCCTCAGGCCAGGTGAGCTCCTGGGGCTGCCCGGGCCCTGGACAAAGACCAGGCCAGAGCAGGGGTGCTGCCCTGTGGGCCGGCAGCCACGCTGCCTCGTCCCAAACCCAGCCCAGAGGTCAGTGCACAGACCACAGCTTCCCAAGTCAGTCCAGTCACAAGACTCGGTCCACGGATGACGCACCCAGACCAGGCAGCGGGCGAATGGAGGCCCGCGGACCTTCATCACAGGGTCTAGACACCAGGAACCGCCTCCTTTCTCTCTTCTCCTAACTTTCAGCTCCTCCCATCTATGGCCCGGCTAGAGGGTGGCTCCCGGCAGAGGCATGAAGCGAATGGGAGGGAGGTGGTGAGGATGGACACAGATGCCCCATCGTGGGTGCCCACCCCGGACCCGGGGCCACGGGTGCGGCTGGGGTTGTCCTGAGCACGGCAGGCTGCTGAGCACCCCTGAGCCAGCAGCACCCACTCTCACGGTGACAGTGGAAACTGTCCCTGACACGGCTGATGTCCCGGGCACACCCGCCTGTCTGAGCACCAGGAGCCACAGGACAGAGAGGCCGAGGCCGGACAGCCGACCAGGCTCCCGCCTGGCATTTCCTGCCATCTACACACTCGGGGCCGAGGACTTACCCCAGTCACACCCGCCACGCCAGCTCGGCTCAGGTCCCGTGCGTCCTCCTCACCGGGCCTCCCTCCTGCCTGGCGGGCAGGGTTTGGAGGGAGGAGGGCAGAGCGGCGGGCACATCCCCGGTTACGAGGAGGAAGCTGAGCCTCAGCGCGTCCTGAAGTCGCATCTGGAACTGGCCCCAGGCCCAAACTCCACTCCCTCTGCAAGTGCCCTCCCGTCCCTGTCGTCCGAAGTGCCCGCACCGGCACCGGGAGAAATTCCCACATTAGAGCCCTGGCTGAGAGCTAAGGGAGGCGCGGTCACTAATGAAGTGATCACCTCCTCGGACAGGACACGCACTAGGTTGATCGGTCCCTTTCTGGGAAGCTTCTCTCCGGGGTGTTAGGTTCCGCCGGGAGGTGTGGTTTGGTCTTGGTGGGAGGGGCGTCTGAGGGGCACCAATGACAGAGATGCCGAGCTCCACACTTAGGGGAGCCCCGTCTCTGCCTGGTTTCCTTCTATTCTGGGGGGTGGGGCAGACAGAGGAGGGGTCCCTTCGAGCATGAATCCCACCATCATTCAGAGGGACTCTGAGGCCCCGCCCTGTACCCCCTGCCCAGGTGAGTTCAGACCTTCAGCCCCGGGGTGGGATGGCTGGCAGGGAAGGGAAGGAACGCAGACAAGGAGAACCAGAAGCTTGGAAACGAGCACAGGGGCAAAGCCATCAGCAGTCGGTGGCAGGGGTGCAGGGTCACATACCTCTATGCTTTTTGGGGGCCCCCGGCTCCCAGACACTCAGGGAGCTCTCCGACAGCTCATCCCCCTCGGGGTCCAGCGGGGCTTGGCCGTCCCACACCTCGGCCTGCGACTCCTTCTCCGAGTCCCAGGAGGCCAGCTCGCAGTCCTGGGGCTCCGGGGCCGGCAAGGCCTGGGCTGAGGCCGCCTCCTCCTCCTCTTCGGGCGGGGCAGAGGCCGAGGCCGCCTCCGGCTGGGACGGGGTGCCCTCCTGGCAGTTGCTGTCCATGGAGGCCGCATAGTCCAGCATCAGGGCAGCGTCATTGTCCTGAGACAGAGAGGTCTGTCCGGGGAGAGAGAGAAAGTCAGTGCGAGGGAAGGTTAAAGGACACGCGGAAATTAGTCCAAACAGCCTGACTAATTTCAAAGTGTCAGAGGCCCGACCCCCGGAGGCAGCTCCTTTAGCATGGCGGCTGTGCCGGCCAGAGTGGCTGTCGTCCCCATGCACCGGAAGGTTGCTGGTTCGATTCCCAGTCAGGGCACATACCTGGGTTGTGGGTTTAATCCCGTCAGGGAGCACACACAAGGCAACCGACCAATGCCTCTCTCTCTCTCTCTCTCTCTCTCTCTCTCTCTCTCTCTCTCTCTCTCTCTCTCTCCCCCTCTCTCTAAGCATGTCCTAAGTGAGAATTTTTAAAAATTAAATAGAAAAAGAACTGAATATTACAAATATATGTATGTATATGTGTGTGTGTATGTATGTGTGTGTGTGTATATATATACACATATATATATATATGGGCAGCTGCATGTCGGGGGGCCGAAACTCATCACTGCAAAGGGGCACAGCCCGAGTTGGGAACTTGGAAGGGGTCGGGGGGAGGTGACATCCCTGCCCCAGCAGATGGGCCGGCTAGGCGCCCATGGGAACCCGGAGGTGAGGTGGAAGAGAGAGCTTGTCCTTGTGAGTCTCGGGGAGGTCACAGGGTGACCCCGGAGCCCCAGATTCAGTCCGTCTTTGAATCTTTGTTCCTACAGCACTTTTAGGTTTCCTGAACGTAGAAACGAATTGCTATGCACCGTGTACCCTAAAAATTACACGTGTGTAAAGCCTGTGTAGGTGCTACACTAACCTGGGCTGGGAGTCCGGAACGTGTCTCTTTCGAGGGTGGGAAGTGACTATGGGGGGACATGGGGCTCCGTGGGGCTGGTCTGTGGTTCTGATTGGGGAGCAGGTGCACAGGCGCGTCTGCTCGGTGACAATGACCAACTGCATTTTCTGGTTCAAGTGCTGGCTTGCGGAAGTGCCCACTGACTCGCGGTCAGACAATGTGAGCAAATAATAACTGTGTCAAATGTTAAGATCCATGAGTTCCTAATAATCTAAAATAAAGCCTTAGGGGAGATGATCAAAGTCTCATCCTTATTTCATTCACATGTACCCCTAACTTCAACAAAACAAAACAAAACAAAAACCACCCTGGGGTCAGGGAGCTTCCAGAGACGCCATCGCCGCCTGCTGGCTGTTGCTGGAAGTGCACGCAGGAAACCAGAGAGGCCTGACCTGCTCTTGGGTGATGCTGCTGAGGCCTCCAGCCAGCTGTGCCTGCTGGGCCTTGGGCACCGGCCACCCAGGCCCTGAGTTTAATGGTGATTCACCTCTGGCACCTCCCGTGACCCATTCTGGTCTTTCTCCTCGTAGCTGAGAGTGCAGGGCCTCCTGTCCCACCCTCGGGTGCCCTCAAAGAATCACCTTGCCCTCAGGGTTCAACAATTCCTCCTCCCTGGTCCCTCCCACCATCGCATCTCCCAGCTCTCCCTCCTCCATTGCTCACATTCCCCTTGTCCATTCTGAAATGTTAGAAAAGCATCAGGACCGCTGCGTGGCCCCTTGCGGGGGGTGGGGGGCGGGGGGGGGCGGGGGTGGGGGGGGTGCTGGCCTCTCCAGCAGCCTGGCCTGCCTGGCGCCCACCATCGGCTCGGGACATGTTGTCACAGGGCAGCAGAAAGAAGGGGATCGGAACATGTTTAAAAACAAGCTCCACGCCTCTGAGCGCAAAAGGCGCAACACTCATTGCGAAACGTTGACGTGGTTTGGAAATGTGTAACGTGGAAAGTGAGAGCTCCCCATAGCCCAGCGGGGATGAGGGTGGAGGTGCCGTCCCCAGGGGGATCCTGACCTCACGCCGGCCTTTCTCTTTCAATAACTTTTCTTCAAATGATTCACCGACCTCTCACCAGCCACAGCACCCCGGTCGGAAACGGCCAGGTTTCCTTCATCAACAGGGGGAGCTGCGAGAATGACATGCCAGAGCCGCCCCCGTGCAGGGCGAGGGGCCCAGCCTGACATTTGTAAACACGGACATTTGTAAACATGGATCAGGGGCTCGGCCAGCTCCCGCTAGGGAGGGACAGCGGACAACACCAGGACAACGCCAGGACAACGCCCGGACAACGCCAGGACAACGCCAGGACAACGCCAGGACAACGCCAGGACAACGCCAGGACAACGCCAGGACATCGCCAGGACAACGCCAGGACAACGCCAGGACGCCAGGACAACGCCAGCCCCGCGGGCGCACCTTGGAGATCCCTGATATGATGATGGTGCTCCTCTTCCGCGGCGACTTCAGCTTCAGCTTCGAAGACTCGCTGAGCTGCCGGATGGCGACCTCGGCCACGGGATCCGAGCCGTTCAACACCAGCAGTTCTGCGGGGGGAGGGCAGCGGTGACGCCTCTGTGGCCCCTCAGAGGGCCCCTGACTCTGAGTGACACTCACGGAAGGGTCCACGGGTGCATTTGTGTGCGAGCTGCTCTGCGATCGAGGTGATGGAAGACATGAGAGCAGGTAGACCAGCGGTTCTCAACCTGTGGGTTGCGACCCCTCTGGCCGTCGAACGACCCTTTCACAGGGGTCGCCCAAGGCCATCCTGCCTATCAGATATTTACATGACGATTCATAACAGCAGCAACATCACAGTTATGAAGTAGCCACGAAAATAATTCTATGGTTGGGTCACAACATGAGGAACTGTATTGAAAGGGCCAGAAGGTTGAGAACCACTGAAAAGACCTCTAATCTTTTGGGGGCCTGGACCTTTGAGGGGCAGTGCGGTCACTCCCCATCTCTGGCGAGACTGGTGACCACAGGCTAGTGTCAGGCTGAGGGGCCAGGGCACACTAGCAGCCCCTTCCCATGGTCAGTGCCACACACGGGCAGCCTCTAGGGACATTCCAGATGCCAGGCGCCGGCACGGGCTCAGTGCACGGTATTTCATTCGAATGTCCCCCAGGCCCTGGAGTGGGTACTAAACCCTCGACTGAGAAACGGGGAGATTGCCAGCAGCCAGGTCAGGGGCAGAGCGGGATGCCCAGCCCCTGTTCTGCTAAAAGATTAAAATGACAAAATGTCACAGGAGCAGGATGTGAAACAGGGGTGGGGACTTCTGGGCCCGAGGGCCGCCTGCAAAATCACTCGGTCTGGCCCTCCAAGGCCGGAGGGCTGAGTTAATTACACGAATGATATTACAAACATCCAATGGCCCTTGGCAGAAGAAAGGTTCCCCGTTCCTGATGTAAAAGCAAGTTTTCTCATCTCAGTTTCGGCCGTGGCCTGCAGGCGACAGGTGCTCCATTTCAAAGGCTGTGGTGACAGGACGAGCACAGCAGAACTGCCTGGCCATGCCCCATGGTGAGGGGCCAGGAGGGCCAGGAGAAGGGGCTGGGAGGGGCTTCCGGAGAGAGCGGTGCCGTGACTCCCAGTGACTCCAAGGGACAGGATGGGAGTGGGGCTGGGGGACCCTCAGGGCTGCGTCCCGGGAATCACGAAAACTCCCACAGGGACGGAGACCGTTTTCGACTCGCCCCGGCTGAGAGGGTACAGAGCCTTCTAAGACAGCACCCGTCCAGGGAGACCCACCGCTCCCCCAAGCCCACCTGCTCCTCCTTGCCCCACCCCTGAGCTTGGCAAGATCAGAAACAGGCTCAGGAATGGGGAGCGGAGCCCGAAGACAGCTGCCCACTGCCCCTCCTCCGCCCGCAGGCCCCACGAGCCAAGGGCGTAACGTTTAACTCCACATTTAGGTGGTGCTGTGATTTAGAGACAGTCACACGCCTCTTCAAGGTCATTATGAAAGTGGCCCTAAAAATGGGAAACTGGCAGCCAGGCTGCTGGGGGAAGACGACTCCTGCCCAACAGGTTCGTGGGACAGCTGGAGGCCAAACCGAGGTTGGCTTTACGGTTACGTCGCGAGTCCTACTGACTTCACGACAGTCACATAGCTCGTATGTTGAACCAGAGAAAAAAGAATGTTCAGGAATTTTATAAAGTGAGGCCGGAGCTGGGTTCTACGTTCATTTTGTTACAGCGTCTCCTTAACTACAGCAGGGTGCTCACCCTTCCTGGTCTTCGATTTCCCTCTTTTCCCAGTTCTTAACTTATTACTCAAAAGAACTTCCCCAAGCTCCCCAAACGAATACTCCTCTCATCAGGGGCAAGGCTGAGGGAGGAGCCAGAGGGATGAGGGAGGAGCCAGAGGGGTGAGGGAGGAGCCAGAGGGGCAGAGGGAGGAGCCAGAGGGGCAGAGGGAGGAGCCAGAGGGGTGAGGGAGGAGCCAGAGGAGCAGAGGGAGGAGCCAGAGGGGCAGAGGGAGGAGCCCAGAGGGGCAGAGGGAGGAGCCCAGAGGGGCAGAGGGAGGGCCCAGAGGGGCAGAGGGAGGAGCCCAGAGGGGCAGAGGGAGGAGCCAGAGGGGCAGAGGGAGGAGCCCAGAGGGGCTGAGGGAGGAGCCAGAGGGGCAGAGGGAGGAGCCCAGAGGGGCAGAGGGAGGAGCAAGAGGGGCAGAGGGAGGAGCCAGAAGGGCAGAGGGAGGAGCCAGAGGGACAGAGGGAGGAGCCAGAGGGGCAGAGGGAGGAGCCCAGGGGGGCAGAGGGAGGAGCCAGAGGGGCAGAGGGAGGAGCCAGAAGGGCAGAGGGAGGAGCCAGAGGGACAGAGGGAGGAGCCAGAGGGGCAGAGGGAGGAGCCCAGGGGGGCAGAGGGAGGAGCCAGAGGAGCAGAGGGAGGAGCAAGAGGGGCAGAGGGAGGAGCCAGAAGGGCAGAGGGAGGAGCCAGAGGGACAGAGGGAGGAGCCAGAGGGGCAGAGGGAGGAGCCCAGAGGGGCAGAGGGAGGAGCCAGAGGGACAGAGGGAGGAGCCAGAGGGGCAGAGGGAGGAGCCCAGGGGGGCAGAGGGAGGAGCCAGAAGGGCAGAGGGAGGAGCCAGAGGGACAGAGGGAGGAGCCAGAGGGGCAGAGGGAGGAGCCCAGGGGGGCAGAGGGAGGAGCCAGAGGGGCAGAGGGAGGAGCCAGAAGGGCAGAGGGAGGAGCCAGAGGTGCAGAGGGAGGAGCCAGAAGGGCAGAGGGAGGAGCCAGAGGGGCAGAGGGAGGAGCCAGAAGGGCAGAGGGAGGAGCCAGAGGTGCAGAGGGAGGAGCCAGAGGGGCAGAGGGAGGCCACAGGTGTTACCTGTGTCTGAAGAAGACAGGGTTTTGCTGACGGGAGGGCTGTGGCAGGAGACGGCTTGGACGGAGATGTCCTTCTCGATCACCCGCACCTTGACGGGCGTCCGCAGCGGAGACTCTGCAGGGACAAACGCTGGTTACCACACGGCTCCTACAGCCATTACCGGGACGTGAGATCACACCTCATGTCAACTCGTTCTCATGTCGTTGGCGAAGGCACGGCCAAACCTCAAGACTGCTTAACAATCTCTTATTCTTTTCTCTTTTTTGGGGGGTGGGGTTACCAAAAAGGGGTGCTGGAAGCTCAGGTTTAAATAAAATTTCAGAAATGCTTTCACTGAGGGAGAGTTTCACGTTCTGTTTTGCATTTGAGAACAGAATCCAAAGCAGTCTGCGCTGGGAAGATGGTACCTCAGTATAAGCAGAAACACCGTATAAATTAAAATAAATAATAATCATACAAGTGTCTCCCAGGCCGTGGCTGTGGGGACAGGTGCGGAATTCCGCTGCATCCGAAACGACTGCCCATCAAGCCTTCTAACCCACAACCTTAACGTAAGAAACTGCACACTGACCACGTGCACCCAGCGTTCCAGAGAGCGTGGTGCCCCCGTGACCGTAACAGAGTTATTATGTTAACTGGCTCTTTCATCCAGAGTCTCAATCTTAGCTTCGGAATAGACTACAAGGTTGTCATTCATTTGACAAAGTAGGAAGATAATTTTCTAAGAAAAAAAAGAAAGAAAAAGCTACACAGAAGTCTTGCCCATCGCCACGATCCCTGTGCCACGGATTTTCTTAATAACCACGCGGGGGCGGGCACTGCCCTCCCGGGACTCAGAGAGACCGTTCCACCCTCTCACCCGAGCTCAGCGGGGACGCCCTCCCGGCGTCGAAGCGAGGCTTGGTTTTCACGGCGGTGACGGTGGTGACCACAGTCCCGCAGGGCATCACCGTGCGGTCTTTCTCTATCTTGGCCGCAGGAACGGGCGGAGGGGTGTGCCAGGATTTCGCCTCTGCGGGTTCCACGTAACAGAACTGCGGAGAAGGCCGCTGGTGGGTCGTGCGGTCAGTGCCAGGACACCCGCACGGCCCGCTGACCCCGGCACCCGGTCGCTCAGTTAGTGTCAGAATGAGTGACGTTAGTATTAGAATGAACGCAGGTCCCCGGGGACTGACAGCCGGTGAGTCCCGTGCTCCCACCCAGCCAGGCAGCACCCACGATGGGGACAGAGGCCGAGGGACAGACAATCCGACAGCCCGTTCCGGGTCAGGCCCTCGTGAAACGGCCTCGGGGGGTATTTCACAGAGCGGACCACTCGGCCAGCTCAGGGGCAGGAAGGCTCCCGGTCAAGCCCAGAGACTTCTCGGATGAGCTTCGTTTCAGGGTCAAGCCAGGGCCAGGCTCTGACGGACAAAAACGAAGGTGCTCCTCCTCCGAAGTGGGAACCTGGCCACGTACCTCCGCGGTGACCGAGCCCAGGGCCGCGCCGTCCCCCGCGGGCCCGTGGGTCAGCAGAAAGCTCTGGGGCCCGGAAGGCTGCTTCTTGAACAGATCTAAAGGGATGGTCGTCGTCGCCAGCAGAGCTAGAAGACAGGACACGGCAGTGAGCGAGCGCTGCGGATGTTTCCAGGACAGCAACACGGCCGGGGTGAGCTGCTACAAGCAGGCCGGCTCCTGATCACCACCCTGCTCGCTTGACAACATGTGACAAATGTCAGGGTCCAGAAAGGACAGAGGAGGCTAAGGGATGTGACGCTTCCGGCAGCGTCCGCACCTGCGCTGCGGCGGGAAACAGCTGCCGGGAAGACGAGCTGCGGGTCAACTGGTAAGAATGAGAACCTGGCGGTGGATTCCAGAACTGTTCACCGTCCATTCAGGAAACGGGTAGCTGTCCCAGGGCCGTGTGAGAACAGCCCTATGTGAAACACACCCTAAGGAACTGAGGGGTGCAGGGACCATGATGCATAGAATTGCCCTCAGATGGTCCCCACGTTTACCCTCGAGTGTGTGTGTGCATGTCAGAGAGAGAGCACGCGCACAAGCAAGAGTGACCGCGTGTGGACACAAATACCAAAGGAAACGGGGCAAAGTGGACATATGTGAGTCTGAGTCAAGGCTCTATGGTTGTTCTTTGTTGTGTTTTTGTGTGTGTTTGTTTTGAGCTTGAAATTTCAGTCCCCCATCCGGCTGCACTGGGATGGAATTCCAACGGAGCCAAGAGGAGTGGGGCCCCTGGATAAACAATGGCCCTGAGTGGGCGCCCCCGGCTCTGGTAGGGTCAGCTCTGACCCCGGGGAAGCCCCATCATCTCAGGACTGCAGGTCAAGCAGCCGCCTGAGTTCCTGCTCACGGGCAGGACGGCTTTCCCTGGGTCTTGGTGATGTCAGCAGATAAGCAAAGGGCTTGGATGCTCAGCTGGTTAAGACAGGTAAGCCCCTCCGCCCTCCCGATTTTGGTATGTTTATGGGGATTTTTAAAAATCTAATCAATATTGACACTACTGAACTATAACAGGCCCACATTCACTTTGGTGATATGGGTGCTGTTTTTTTTTTACCTCTAATTGTTGCTTTCCTGCATCTAAAGCATGTGTTCAATTTGAGCTGCTACGGCTCATTCTCCAAGGAAAAGCCGGTGGAAATCCATAGAGACAGACAGGATGGCGATGCCAGGGGCTGGGGAGGGGGAGGGGAGTCAGTGTTCAATGGGGACTGAGTTTCAGTTTTGCAAGATGAAAAGAGTTCTGAGATGGATGGTGGTGATGGTTGCACAACAATGTGAATGCGCTTAATGCCGCTGAGCTGTGCACTAAAACATGATTAAGATGATAAATTCTGCAACATGTATTTCATCATAATTTACAAAAAATTTTTTAAGGTCTGTTGACGCTAAGAGGGTTGAGGACTGCTTCTCTAAACCAAGAATTGTTAAATAAAAGCCTTAAGATATTTGTTAAACAAAAAAAAGACAAACCAAAAAAACTATTTGAATATACTCTTTCCCAAAATGTACCTTATTAATAACTGAATGGACTTTCAACCAAACGTTCCCTGGGGAGACCCAGATGGTATGGGGAGGGGCAGGCCTCCTCTGGGTCTCCCACCCTCCCCAGCTTCCCACAGCCCTGGTCAGGGCACTGGATGACGAGGGCAGGGCCTCCGTCCACCTGCTCGCCACCCACCTTCTGAGGACTGCCCATCCTCCAAAATCTGCAGGTGCAACTCCTTCGACTTGGCGTTCAACTCACTGTGCAGAGAAAAAAAGCTGTGAGTCCTTATTGTTTGAAATAGTACTTTTTTCTGACTATAGGAAGGACTAGTCATCATCAATATTTTAAAAACTGCAAGACACATAACCAGAAATATGAAGATTATCTGCAACCTCACTATCCAGAAAGGGCTGCTCTTCGGACTTAGTGCCTAGTCTCCTAGAGTCATCCGGCATTCTGATGACGGACATACCCTTTCATACAGGTGCCTGCAAATATGGTGGCCACATATGGCTTTAGAAAACTTGAAATGTGGCCAGTGCACACCGAGGAACTGGATTTAATTTTAATTACCTGAAATTTAAAGAGCCCCACGTGGCCATGAGTGACCACACCCGAAGGGTAGCGATATAATTGTCTAAACACAAAATACAGAACATAATATACCTCACTGCTTCTTTGTAACCTGTTTTGTTTTTTTTCCACCGAGGATACCATAGACACCTTTCCACGTCAATAACTACAGAGCAACAACATGTTTAATGAGTGTCTGTTCCACTGTTTGGCCTTATGAGATTTTACTTAGCTAATTCCTTAATAACCAACATTTAGTAATGAGGTGGTTGCTTTAAGATCTCATAATTATAACCCTGTTGGCCAATCACCTTCAGACACGCATCTCAGCACGACTTAGAAAAACTGTAACTGCCAGCCAAGAGGTCCGTGCATTGAAGAGCTTTTCTTTAGTTTTTACAAACTGCTGACCTCCAGAATGGCGATTCCAATTTACACTCCACTGGCCACCCTCGCTCTCAGTACTTAGCCACCTGGCAGGTGGGAAACAATCTCTTTTCGTCACTCTCACTATGGCTGAGGCAGAACGTCTTTTCAGTCTATAGTTCTCGCCTTTGCTTTTCTAGTTTGAAAACTCTGCCCACTTTTCCAAAAGGGAGTCATCTTTTCCTCAATGGTTTACAAGAGCTCTTTATATGAGACATGGACTATGTTCTCCTATTACTTTTTGTAACTTGTCTATTAAGCATCAGAAAGTGATCGATTTCTATATTTTTGTAGTCAGCCACTTTCCTGAAATATTAATTTTACATCATTATTTCTATCTTATGTCCATTATTATTTCTGGTGGTCTTAATTGCTTTTCCTGAGCAGTCATATCATGCAATGCTATCATCTCCAGGGAATGATTAGCTCTGCCTCTTTCTTGTCGGTACGTGTATATCGTTCCCTTATCTTATCTAACTGCGCTAACCAGTGCTTCTAGCGCAAACAGTGGGCTCTCTCCCTCGACGTTACTGGGACTGCTTCTGGTTTTTATCACTTTCAGTGATTTTCTCTAAAAAATCTTTTTGAAGAAGTGCCCATAAATCTTGTTCTAATGAAGATTTTTAGCATTAGGAATGGGTATTAAATGTCACTAGATATCGCTGGGGCATAAATAGATTTGCCTTCCAAAAGAAATTTATGTCTGACTTAAAGCTACCTCAGATGCTTCATATGCTTTTTACAAATGAGAAGTAATTTTTGTGTGCTATGAAATGATCTCAGGGGTTGGCAGTCTCGAGTAGGTGTCACCATGGAAACCCAGGCCCGCGGGAACCGCTGCACGCACAAGGTGAACTCTTCTTCCCAGGTGAGGTCAGTAGTGTTTTTCGGGAGGACGCTGGAGAGCTTCTGAACGGGATCGTTCAGCTGAACTTGGCAGCGGAGGTTAGCGGGGCCTGTAATCACACAAAGGCAGGCACTGCCTTTTACTTTTGCTTCTTCACAGCTTTGAGACACTTCTGCATTCAAAGAAAGGCTAAGTAAAATGCCTAAGGTCTTGGCTCACCCACTTTCTTTCATTTGTCATTTATAAACTCTCAAAGCACCCCACTTCATTTGGGGTTAAAGGTTTTATACCCCCACTGGATATGCAGAGCCCGGACTGACCCCAAGTGCCTGCTCACCCCTCGGTTCTGGCTGCAGGCACAGCCTCGAGGTAGGGGACAACCTGAATACAACAGAGAGGTGGTCCCCACTGCTGGACAAGACTCACCACTTGGCTACATCTGGGGACTACTTACCCTGGGTGTGGTGTTCATACCTGACAACTCCCTTCAAACCTTTTCTGGGTGTTTTTCCAGGTAATGGGACTCCACTACCCAGCAGCTCATTCTGCTCCGGGGCACTGCCCGCCGCTGGCAACGAGTCTGAATACACCGTGTGACCAACCACCGCCGGGCTCTACCGGCCCGTCTCCACGCGCCTGGCGCTGTCAGCTGCTCCACACACAGCCTCTTCCTAGTCAACCTTCACAATCACCGCCCAGGGGAGACTCAGGCCCCGAAGGGACCCCAGCCCTGGCCAACTGGGCCCAGGAAGTCCCCTCTTAGTCGCCAAGCCTGGGGCCCCAGAGAGCAGCATGAGGGTGCTTTTACCAAAGCCATCACTACAACCAGCTCTGCAGAGTCCTGGTTGTGAAATGTGGCCCGTCTGCACTTGGAACTGAGAGAAACTCCTCGCAGACAAAGAGAAGTAACCCCAACATCCTCCGACCATAGAAAGAAGTCACTCCTATTCTCAGCCAAACTGAATCGCAGGGGAGAGCCGTGTCCTGTCCCGGCTACTACGCACTTGGGGTCTCAGCAGCGATTCAGAACCACCTGGAAGTCATTCCTTCGGGGGTCACTCTTGTCTCCACCCAGACAGCAGCCTCTCTGCACCAAAGGTCCCCGCTGAGCCAAAGCCCTTCTGAGGCGCATAAACTGCCCCTGTGGTCCCTCCCCCCAGGAAAGCAGACTGGTCAGGGATGCTTGGCATGCATTTTCAGCTTCAATAGTGGGGGGGAAAGAAAAGTAAATGTGCCTTCCAGACTCAAGGGAAAGGGCAAAGCTACAGTTGTGTTCCTTCCTTCCTTCACGCATGGAAAACCCAGGTTGTATTCCAATGGGCTCGCATTATTATTACGGCTTCCAGGGGATCTTCTTCGCTCGGCAGAATCACACTGCAGACCCACCTGGCGGGAGCCACCGAGAAGCCCCAGGTCACCCCTCCACTCGGCTCGTGCTGTGGGACGGTGGCTTCTGCAGCGGCCAGGCACCTGCCTACACCCGAGCCGGGCACCACGGCACCCACCTGGAGCACCAGGATGGCTGAGCAGCGAGGCCCGGATGCTCTTCACCAGCAGCTTGAGGTCATGGGCCCGTGGAGGTTTGGGAGGGCAGGGTTCCTGCGGGACCGGCGAGGTGCGCTGGAGAGTCTGCAGGAAGAGAAGGAGCAGTGGCCGTGGGAGGCAGAGGACAGAGGCGGCAGCGGAGCCTGAACCGGGGTCTGTGGCAGTTTCCCCTCTGATGGGAAGGTCGGGTACCAGCGGCCAGAACCATTTCCCTGCTGGGGAGCCTTCTGAACCCCAGCAGCAGCAGCAATGCATTCAGCCAGGGAGGGCTCCCCAGAACCGTACTGTGGGCGGAGACTGGAGCCACCATGCGGGTCCATGCCTGACCCAGGCCAGGTGCCTGAGAGACAGTGGACGCCTTCTCCAGGCTGCAGGTCACCGGACTGCCCCCAGCCTGGGCGAGGCAGTGGGTCTGTCCAGTGCTAACTGGTTTTCCCAGGAACCTCAATTCTCGAAGGATGCCGTCCAAGGCCTCAGGCTCTGAGTGGACAGTAAAAAGTCAAGCTTGGGCTCCTAGAAGGCGGAGGGTCAAGCCTAGTTAGGGTGGGACTATGCTGAGTGGCCCTCTTCCTTCCGCCCCCCTGGCCCCCCTGGAGCTTTGGAACCCCGTGCCCTGAACTGGAACCTCCCGCAGAACGTGGTCATTACTGGCCGGCAAGCACTGGCGCAATCGGGCTCCACCGCGCGGGGTGGAGGAACATCGGAAACACACACAGGTGCTCCGGGCAGCGGACCATGGTCCTACGGGGCCTCGAGGCCCCCACACCGTGAGCAGGCTCACCTGGACTTCCCGCACGTCCACGGGCCTGGTGCTCAGAACCACCGACGGGGAGGCGGAGCTAACCAGGTACTTCAGGATGTCCTTGAGAGTTTCACATATTGCCTTCACCTCCACCGCCCGGTCCTGCGAGAGAGGAGGGAGTCACCCAATCACTTCATAACCACGCACGCATGCGGAAGGACGGGTGAACGAACCTGGATCCAGGAGGTCAGATCAGGACCCATGAGAGACCTGGGGGAGAGGGTCCTTCTCACTGATCTCGGAAGTAAGTCACCATTTTATTTTATTTTATTTTAATCCTCACCTGAGGATATTTTTTCCATTGATTTCCAGAGAGAGTGGAATGAAGGGAAGACGGGGAGAAAGAAACATCAACAAGAGACACACAGATTGTCTCCCACACGCTCCCCTACCAGGGCTGCATTCAGCAACCAAGGCACATGTCCTTGACCAGGAATCAAACCCATGACCCTTCAGTCCACGGGCGAATGCTCCAACCCCTGAGCCAAACTGGTAAAATGGTTTAAAAAAAAAAAAAAAAGCCATTGTGCACCATAGAAATGTTAGTATTCCTGTGTATATCCTGTCAGCCATTTTCCCCAAACATACAGACATGCGGTTTCCTTTTCTGCACAACACTGGATATATTTTTGAAGTTAGAAAGTATTCAAGTAAACGGAAAGGCCTGAGAAGAACGCAGACAAGCTTTTAGAAGAAGAACAAAGCTACAGTAGTTAACGCCCAGCTGAACTGTGCCCATGCATTCTAGAATGTTCACAGCACCCCTATTCATCAGAGCCCCAAACTGGAAACTACCTAGGTGCCCAACAACGGCTAAATGGACCCATAAACTGTGGGGCAGCCACACAGTGCGTGCCACGGGACAAGGAGCACAAACACCACGGAGCCACCCACAACACGGACGAACCTCACAGACACCGTGTCGAGTGAAAGAAGCCACACACAGAAAAGCCCACACTGTGTGATTCTGTGTCACATAAAAGTAACCGCTTCACAGGACGCATTTCAGTGGCATTTAGTGCATTCGAAGTGTTCGACAACCATCACCTCTATCTTGTTCCAGAATATTTCCATCCCGGCCCCCCAAAGTAAACCCCTTACCCACAGGCAGACACCCCTCATCCCCCTCCCCCAATAGGACCTGCCAACCGCTGCTCTGCTTCCCGTCGCTATGGGCTTGCCTGTCCTGGACACGGCATAGCGAGGTGATGGGGAGGAACGTGGAATCCCACAGCAGTGGCCTCGTATGTCTGGCTTCTTTCACTGAACATGACGTGCTCAGGGTCATGCAAGTTCCAGCAGGTATCACAACCTCACTCTCGTTTATGCCTGAATGACATTCCATTATGTGGATGGACCTCATTTTCTTGTCTACTTTTATCTTTTTTTAAAAAATAAATATGTTTTTATTGATTTCAGAGAAAAAAGGAGAGGGAGAGAGAGATAGAAACATCAAAGACGAGAGGGAATCCTTGCTCAGCTGCCTCCTGCACGCCCCTACTGGGAATCGAGCCCACAACCTGGACATGTGCCCTTGACCGAAATCGAACCCAGGATCCTTCAGTCTGCACGCCGGTGCTCTATCCACTGAGCCAAACCGTCGAGGGCTGTCTACTTTTATCCTTTAACCCCCACAATTTCTCCACACTTTATAGAGGAGGAAACCAAGGGAGAAAGATGAGTCTGGGGTGCACGCATGTCAGAGTCCATTACATCTTAGACCCCAGAGCAGCTGACCTTCCTTCCACGCCACCCCCTGCCCACACGCCACCTCCTCCATCGGGGCCCAGCAGGACCCAGCGGCGGGGGGCTGGCTGCTCCACGGAACTGCCTCACTGCGAAGCCACACTGCCCACAGATATGAGCAGCACGTGGGGGTCAGGGAAATGCCCAGGGCGTGGGGCAGGGTATAAACAGCACGTACAGAATCCCACCATTTGGGTGAGAAAGGAGGAATAAGATCATTTTTGCAAAAAGAAAGGCAGAAAAGATAAAAACCACAGAAACGTGTTGCCGCACGCAGAAGAATGGTGGCAGAAGGGAGAGGAAGGGGGATAGACTTCCGAGTATAATGTTTCATGTAACTTTGACTATAAAACAGCGGTTCTCAACCTGTGGGTCGAGACTCCCTTGGAGGTCGAACGACCCTTTCACAGGGTCACCTAAGACCATCGGAAAACACATATATAATTACATCTTGTTTTTGTGATTAATCACTATGCTTTATGTTCAATTTGTAACAATGAAAATACATCCTGCATATCAGATATTTACATGACAATTCATAACAGTAGCAACATTACAGTTATGAAGTAGCAACGAAAATAATTTTATGGTTGGGGGTCACCACCACATGAGGAACTGTATTCAAGGGTCGCGGCATTAGGAAGGTTGAGAACCACTGCTTTAAAGGCATGTTAATATTTTTCACATTAAAAAATAAATAAATGAACAAAGATGGGGGACAAACCCTAATACTGCATCCGAACAGCCACAAATGCAGCTCACGAGACATGAAATGGGTATGATAACCACACGGAAGGAAAAAAATCAAGTCATTGTTGAACGTGAACTGGGGATCCCTCAGGGGGATGCACTCTGGGACGAGGGACAGCGGGCGCCCTGAACGTTGGCAGGTGTGAGGTCGGCAGCGGTGCCAGGGGAGCAAGTCACAGAACAAAGGATGTCGTGTGGGAGGAGGAGGCACGAATATGGAAAGAAGGAGAAAGAGGCCCGAAGGGAGACACTGAGCACGCGCCCCTCCTGTCACGAAGCAGCCGGCACAAATGCCACTCGGATGCGTGCAAGCCGAAAGAACTACCATTCACACTCGCCAGTGTTTTTTAAAAAGCAACTGTCCATATCTAGATTAAGGCAGGACAGTGACTATTATAGACCAACTATTAAAGTCACATATGTCAGCTGGTGAACAAGAGTCAGAGATAGGGTTAAACCACAAGGAAACCCTGCAAAAGCCGCTGCAAAGGAAGAACCTAGTAACCTAAGCCTTTGGGGTAAATGATTTTGCATCATCGTTTCAGCAACTGGACACGGCGACGCCAACTGACTAGCATGCCCACTCCCACGCCCGAATTCACTTCTCCAAACAGCCAAGACCCCGGGGAGCAGGAGGAGGCTGCCTCCAGATTTGGGGTGCGTCTTTACAAAAACCGTGGAGAGGAAGAAGGTCATGACCTCGGAGCTGGCTGGGCTCAGCCCGTGCTGTAAGTAAAGCCGTTTCTAGACAGGAGAGCGAATCTGACCATCAGGTGTGATAGAACGTCATTCCTTCAACAGTTTGCAACCGCAGACGCACATGCGCACCTAAAAACTCCCCAGCCCCCTGACGTCCACACAGGGACTCCTCCGCCCCATGGCACCCACATGGGGTGGCAGGCAGGCTTCCGGGTTCTTGACAGCTGCCAGGGGATTCCAGGCACAGCCCAGAGCCTGGGGTGAGAGGGGGCATCAAATCCATCACAACGCACACACGTTCCCAATACACCGCTGGAGGCATCATAGGGATGTACGGACTGACCTCCCCCGGGGCTCGGGGCTGGATGGTAATGGCCATCTCCGGCTGGCTGAGGAAGGACCACCGGATCGGAATGTCCTCTCTCTCCTCCTTCATGCGGAGCTCCAGCTTTAGGAGGAAAAAAACAATGGTTATTGGAGAGTTGCTGTCTCCACCAGAGGCCCCACGCACACCTGTGTGTGTGTGTGTGTGTGTGTGTGTGTGTGTGTGTGTGTGTGTTCACCGACTTCCTGGGTAAGTGCTTAGCCTCCTGGGCCACCCTGCGCACTTACAGATGGAGAAGAGGGTCCCACACTCCCTGTGACCGGCCCCTTCACTACAGGGACCTTGTCCCACCCCCACCAGCACTGTCCTGTGCCTCCACCTGCCACTCAGCAAGGGACCCCAGGGCTGGTGGCTGAAGGCCCGATGTCACTGACTCCGCAGTCCACTTTAAATTCTCGGTGCTCTGCGTCTCCCTCGGCGGAGTTCACCGAGATGTAAGGGGGGTGCAAGTGAGGAACCAGGATGCCTGGCCAGCCCCACGCTCACACGTCCGCTGAGGGCTGTGTACGGAGCACACTGGGTCCCCGTCACCTGCCTCCTGCCTGGGCCACCACAGAACCTCTAACTGGACCCTGGTCTCCGACAATGTCCCATTCAACCCTCCCCATCGTGGCAGAAAAATGACCCCCAAAGATGTCCGCACTCCAAGCCTTGGCACCTGTGAATGTGACCTTACACGGCAAACGGGACTTTGCGGATGCAATTAGAGCAGTGGTCGGCAAACTGCAGCTGGCGAGTCCCATGTGGCTCTTTGGCCCCTTGAGTGTGGCTCTTCCACAAAATGCCACGTGCGGGCGCCCACGTACAGTGCGATTGCAACTTCGTGGCCCATGCGCAGAAGTCGGTATTTTGTGTCGGAAGAGCCACACTCAAGGGGCCAAAGAGCCGCATGTGGCTCGTGAGCCGCAGTTTGCCGACCACTGGATTAGGGTGAGAGCCTGCAGGTGTGGAGGTGAGCCTCGGTTATCGTGGTGAGCCCAGAGGAACCATAACAAGGGAAGAGGAAAGCAGAGAGGACCCCAGAGATGTGACTTGAGGGTGGAGGGTGCTGCCAGGAGCCCAGGGATGAGGCTGCCCCTAGAAGCTGGGCACTGCCCTCGGCTGCCAGCCAGCAGGGAGCCCGGGCCTCAGTCCTACCACCGATAGGAGCTGGATTCTGCCCGAGTGAGCAGGAAACAGATTCTCCCCAGGAACTTGCAGAAAGGAAGGCAGCCCGCCAACACCTAGATTTCAGCCTGTGTGGGACGTCAGACCCCCCAGAATGGTAACAGGATACACTTGTGCTGTTTTAAGCTAAGTTGGTGGTCATTTGTTTCTGCAGCCGTAGCAAACTAATACACCGGCCTTCATTTTTCAGCCAGACACAAAAATGTCATCTCTTCGCGTCTCCATCCTTCTCCCCACCACCTACCAACGGGAAAGAAAGGATGGCCTCAGCCCGTATTTCTGAATACTCAGGACTCTCACCTCACGCGAGCAAAAGGGTCGGAGAAATGATGCCCTCCCTTGTAACTCTAGAACGAGTGCACTTTCATTTCATTGACATGGGTCCCCGTGTCACCCCCCCCAGGCGGGGTAGGGGGCGGCAGCATGCCCGACTGCTGGTCCCTTTATGCGCCTTTCATCTGAGGAATAAGGGAGGAGCGGGAGGCCTGCTGCCTGAGCATTAATAATTGACGGTCCCTAGCAGCTGCCTCTGCGTGCAGCTAATCCATGGGCTGCTTTGAAACTGTGCTAAGAGATCAAAGATACAATTGTGTCACTTGCTGCTCAAATGACACCTGAAGCCCGTCTTAGAGACTACATGTGCTCCATTCGTGTTTGGGGTCCTTGCTGGACTCAGTCCTGAAATGTGTGTCAGATGTCGTGTGAACGTGTCCCACGCTTTGAGGTTCTTTTCTAGCACGTTGCCCAAAAAACTGGGGGCAGCAGGAGGCATTCACATCTGACAAGTCCATGAGGCCAACACTTCACCTCTCCAACTCGAAAAGGGGGGTGTCATTGTGGGGGAGGAGGGGCTAGATTTCAGGAAAAAAGCCATTTCAGTGCCCAGAAAATCTTGTTCTCCCTGCTGACATAAAACCATGTCTTTGCATGAAAAGTTTATGGAGCATCATCTCCCCTGTGGTTGAGAATCCTGTATGACTAGGTTCAGCCCCCACCCCCTGCAAATTATCAATCAGCCACCAGGACAGGAGAGGAAACACAGGATTGAATCAGCAGTGACCCCTAAAACAGACCCAGAAATTTATAACTTTTATACACCACTAACAGGAACGACAGTGAACTTCTGCTGAATGCCAGAGACGCAGCTATGTAACAGTTCAGCTATCCAGACATGTCACTAGGTCTATTATAATTGTTACATATGTCTCTCTATATAATTGTTATATATAATTATGTATAAATCATAAAACAGTTATATATGTCTATTATAATTATTTTTTTTAATATATTTTTTATTGATTAAGATATTACATATGTGTCCTTGTCCCCACGTTACCCTCTACCCCCCACCCCCCCCACCCCCGCTCATGCCCTCACCCCCCCGTTGTCCATGTCCATTGGTTAGGCCTATATGCTTGCATATAAGTCCTTTGGTTGATCTTTCCCCCTTACCCCCACCCTCCCCTACCTTCCCTCCAAGTCCCGACAGTCCAATCAATGCCTCTCCGTCTCTGGATCAGTCCTTGTTCATCAGCTTATGTTGTTCATTATATTCCACAAATGAGTGAGATCCTGTGGTATTTATCCGCTCTCAAGTTCCATCCATGCTGTGGCAAATGGTAAGAGTTCCTTTTTCTTCTTCCTCTTCTTAAAGAATACCTTTCAGCATTTCATATAATGCTGGTTTGGTGGTGATGAACTCCTTTAGCTTTTTCTTATCCGTGAAGCTCTTTATTTGACCTTCTATTCTGAATGATAGCTTTGCTGGATAAAGTAATCTTGGTTGCAGGTTCTTGCTATTCATCACTTTGAATATTTCTTGCCAGTCTCTTCTGGCCTGCATGGTTTCTGTTGAGAAATCAGCTGACAGTCGTATGGGTACTCCCTTGTAGGTAACTGACTGTCTTTCTCTTGCTGCTTTTAAGATTCTCTCTTTATCTTTTGCTCTTGGCATTTTAATTATGATGTGTCTTGGTGTGGTCCTCCTTGGATTCCTTTTGTTTGGGGTTCTCTGCGCTTCCTGGACTTGTAAGTCCATTTCTTTCACCAGGTAGGGGAAGTTTTCTGTCATTATTTCTTCAAAAAGGTTTTCAATATCTTGCCCTCTCTCTCCTTCTGGTACCCCTATAATTCTGATGTTGGTACGCTTGAAGTTGTCCCAGAGGTTCCTTACACTATCTTCATATTTTTGGAATCTCTTTTCTTTTTTCTTTTTCGGTTGGGTATTTTTTGTTTCTTTGTATTTCAAATCTTTGACTTGATTCTTGGGATCCTCTTTTCTGCTGCTGGATCTCTGTAAATTATTCTTTATTTCAGTCAGTGTATGCTTAATTTCTAGTTGGTCCTTTTTCATGTCCTCCATGGTCTCCCTATACTTATTGAGGGATTCATTAAATTTATCGGCAGTTTCCATAAAATTCTTGAAAAACCTTATAACCGTGGCCTTAAACTCTATATCCAATCGTTTGCTTTCCTCCATTTCTGCCATTTGTGACCTGTTTCTTTGTCTCCGCGTTTTGGCAGCTTCCCTGTGTTGATAGAGTGGCCCTGTGCGCCAGGTGTCCTGTAGGGCTCAGTAGCTCAGCCTCCCCAGTTACCTGGGGTGGACACTCTTGGTGCACTCTTGGTGCCTTGGTTGTTGTAGAATCACTGGGAGGAATTGACCTCCAGGCCAATTGGCTGTGAGAATCAGCTGTGTCTAAAGTGGGAGAACTTCTGTGCTGAAGACACCCTTCTGGGGCAAGACTTGCTTCAGTGGGGCTTTGGTGCTCACTGAGTCTGCTCCCTGAGTGCGTCCCTTATGGATCTGAGGAGTTGCAGTCTGGATGGACCCCCTCTGACCACTGGGTACAGTGGCTCCTGGATCTAAGGAGGTGCTAATTCAGCCTCTGCCTGAGGCCACACAGCAGGAGCCACGAAGAGGCTCAGCTGTGAAGCAATGCAAGCCGCTGCGGGGCCTTGGGCCTTCTCTTGGAAGTTCCAGGTCTGCCTGGTTCGGCTGCAGTTAGGTACATTCACATGCAAAAGCCTCTGCCGCAGCCTGGGTGGGGCGGGGTCTCAGGGAGTCAGAGGGCGGAGAAAGCGGCCATGGCCGATTCTCCTCTCCGCCCGTAGTCGCGCGTCTCAGTGTTCCGGTAACGGCTGCAAGCACCTCTGAGGGAAAGCCGCCCTCAAGTTCGCTCGCTGCCGGACAGACCAGCTTCTCCCCGTGTGAGACCTGGGTCCCCAGAGACTTCCCGGAACCGGAGTTCAGAGCCGTCGGGAGTTTGTGATTCAAAAAGACAGCCGCGTCCTCAGGCGCCACCCCCTTTCCTCGCGCGCGCGCGCGCCCCGCCGTACCTCTGCACTTCACCTCCGCAGCACCTCTGGCTCTCAGCGTGCTTTTCTTTCCTTCTAGTTGTGGACTTTACACTCAGCCAGCCTTCCTGTTGTTCTGGATGATGTTTGCTCAGTCCTTTGGGGTAATTTTCAATTGTTGTGTGAGGCAATAATTTCCCGGTGTTTACCTATGCCGCCATCTTAGTTGCTCCTATTATAATTATTATAATAAGGTCTATTACCTTAGAAATAATGGTGATACTCATCTATATATATAAAAACCTAAGCGACCAGCCAGTAGCTATGATGCGCACTAACTACCAGGGGGCAGACGCTCAACGCAGGAGCGGAAACCGCATGGAAACATGGAACAGGCTGATGAATCTCAGAGGGAAGGGGGGAGGGGGAAGAGTGGGGAAAGATTAACCGAAGATCTTATATGCATACTAGAGACCTGGTGCACGGATTCGTGCACTGGTGGGGTCCCTCAGCCTGGCCTGTGGGGATCGGGCTGAAACCAGCTCTCTGACATCCCCCAAGGGGTCCCAGATTACGAGAGTGCAGGCCAGGCGGAGGGACCCCACCGGTGCATGAATCCGTGCACTGGGCCTCTAGTTTAACATTAAAAAAGGGGCCTTTTGAAGCAGACTTTTTCAAAAGGAAGAAGAGGAATGTCCCAGTCCAGCCCCTAAGCCAGTGGTTCTCAACCTTCCTAATGCCGCGACCCTTTAACATAGCTCCTCATGTTGTGGTGACCCCCAATTTCATTGTTACCAATTAAACATAATGAAAGCATAGTGATTAATCACAAAAAAAGTATGTAATTATATATGTGTTTTCCGATGGTCTTAGGCAACCCCTGTGAAAGGGTCGTGACCCACAGGTTGAGAACCGCTGCCCTAAGCAGTGTTCCAAGCTGCAGTAGACTTCGGAGGTCCAGCACTGATCTGAGACAGACCCGCTCACCTCACTCACCTGCCATCTACCTGATCCTACCTGTCGGCAGCACCCTGACTGTTCAAGTCCTTGAAAGATACCATCCCTCCCATTTCTGATAGATGGGAAACCTCTAAATTCATTATATATATATACGTGTGTGTGTGTATGTATATGTGTGTGTGTGTATATATATATATACACACATATGTACAGTACAAGCAAGTATATATGTAAGTGTGCATATATAATTTACACATCACAAGCACTTTTTATTTCCTACAGACACAATATGGAAGGTTATTGTTGGGAAATTATGAAATGAAGGACAACTAATAAAAACATGGGTGTGCACGGCCCTGTGACTCCCCACACTGGCCTACAGGCTTATGAGAACTGTTTCCCATGACTCGCACAACCCACCCAACCTCACCTGTAAATGCAGCGGGGCGAGCCGCACACTGTACTCCTGGCGCCCCGTGTCCTCGGGCGAGGCTGGCCCCGAACGGACCAGGAACTGGATGGCCTTGCCCACCACGCGACAAGACACCACCTGGAGGAGGGACAAGACAACTGTAATGTGACTTTATTGGGGGGGGGGGGGGGGAGAGAGAGAGAGAGAGAGACTAGCAAGGACAGGAATTCAGAGTTCCAAACTTGGAAAAATATCCAGACCACATCTTTTCTGTTATGTAACAGTCTGAAAACTGGAGAAAATGTTTCAGATCTTTTCTTCCTGATGGATTTCTCAGGAGCTAAACTCTTTCTTGCCCAAATCTAGTTATGTTCTCTCCACGCATAAAGATGCTTTTCTTTAAATATCCCTCTGTTCTATTTCTCCACACCCGCTGATTTTAAATTCCCCAGACAATCCCACATCCATACAAGTGAGAGCCATTAGCCATCACCTCTCACTAAAACACGAGCCTTTGAAAGAAAATAAGCTATAGATGCTACAAGTAAAACACTTAAAAAACATATCCAGAACACAAGAAATTTTCCCTATATAAATAAATTTTAACCTGTCGTGGTTTTCAAAGATGTGGGAATAATTCAAAGAACATATGAAATTTTAAACAGTTATGAAATTATACAGACTTAAAAATAGAATTATCAAATGAGCACGTTTAAGAAGACAAATAATTCCACCAGGAATAACCAGGCCATACTCCTGACATAAATCACAAAGCATTTTAGAGGGATGACTGTGATAGAGGAATATCCAGTTTCTGTCCCAGAATCCCTCTGCGGAAGCAGATCTAGAAGGAGGGCCAGTCACCCTTCTGGCAGGACGCCGGGCAAGCCCAGGGTGGGATGACTCCCGGGCCAGGTGGCAGGTGTGCACGCCTGGGAGGATGGAGGGAGGCTAGCAGGTGGCCAGGGTGCCTGGCCACAGCCCGGTCATCAGGAGGCTGAGAGCGAAACAGGACAGATGGACTCCCCCACCTTCCCAAGGGAACTGCTGGCCCCACATTGGAGGGTGTCACTTGGGAAGAAAGAGAAAATGTTTTAATCCTCTGGTGGGTTTATTAGGAAGTAGAAAGATTAACAAAATAGTTCCTTTCTTGGGGCCTATTTCACAAAGACGTCCATGGCACAGATCTGGAAGAAAATCTTGCCTATTCCCAACACCGGCAGAAAGTTGCCCAGCCCTATCTTCACCCTCCCTTCGTCTCAGAAGACAAATTCATGTGGATTAGTTACAGTATCTTCATCACGTGATGGCATCTCCCGTGTTCACAAGAGGCTGGAACGGGAAAATGTTTGTATAAGAAATGTCGTCTTTTCGTTATAAAAATAAATGCTCTGTAAACAATCCTCGCTGGAGGAACATATTTTGATGCCTGAGGCCTCACACACAAACGACAGGACACGGAGCATTCGCTGTCCCCCGTCTCAGCAGCCCAGGCCTCGCTCCTGCGAAACATAAAAAAACAGACAGCTGACTGGCTGATGTCTGTTATTTCTTTGGGATCTCCTCTGCGAAGCTAACCGGAGTTTCCCCAGGAAAACGGGCCGCTTTATTAGTGCCCGCCGCAAGCAAGGGAGAGATGGTTTCCTTCCATCCAATTCTACAAGGAGCTTCCTACTGCCCCACCCATTCCTTGAGGCAGAGACAGCTCAGGCGCTCAATTAAAAGCAAATAAACACACAAAAACAGAAACAGATGAGTTTAAAGGGCGCTAACACTTCTGCACTGAAAGTGAGACACCTCCAGGTCCGAGTGGCTCCCCACACAGACCCTCTGAGGGTCTTCCCAGCCCGCTGGCTTCCGACTCCGCATAAAACCAAGCCCCACAGACCAGCGGTTTCCTGGCCTCCCTTCAGCATTCAGCTGGAAACACTCATTAAAACCACCATCCGATCCTGCCTCCACATGCCACGATGGCCACACAAAATGCTACCACTGTTCCCAGGAGGCCGTTGGAGGGACACCGGTCGGGGCCCCACCCTGTCCAGCCCAGCCTCTGCCCCGGCCACCCTGAGAATAATAATGGCCCATTTGTCAAATGCACGAGAACAAAATGGAAAGGAGCTTTTAAAAATAAGTAATCTTCTTTCAGTGCATTAAGGAGTTATCCACAATGGGGATTAAATTAAATGCCCTCAACCCAGGAGAACAGCGGCAAGGCCTTGCCACCCCAGGGTGTCCCCCTCCCCCTTAGACTACCAGACAGCAGGACTGCCTGCTACAAGACCCCACCTAAGGGGACAGAATGTCCAAGATTGACAGCTACCGATATACCGATGAGCAGACAGAGGCCCTGGTCTTTATTTATTTATCTTTATTGTTGAAAGTATTGCAGCTGTCCCCTTTGTTTTTTTTCCCATTGACCCCCCTCCACCCCGCACCCGCCCCTTCCAGGCCTTCACCACACCATTATCTTTGTCCATGGGCTATGCATATATGCCTATAAGTCGCCGCCGCCCCCCCCCCCCCGTTAACCCCCCTACCCCCACCTTCCCTCTGAAATTCGTCAGTAGAGGCCCTGATCTCGACCCCAGAGTTTCCCCATATACACCATGTCTGTGGGGATGCCTAGTTAGTTCCTCAGAGTCCCACGGACAGGACGTGGAGCTGTTACACAGCCATGGTGCTTGGGGTTCCTTAGGAAGCAGTCTGAGAGCCATGCTGGACCTTCAGAGTTACATGGAGACAGACACTCCTCGGCACTGCGGGGACCGAGGGCCTGAGAACAGAAGTGAACCCGGGGCCCAGAGCGGGACTCCACGGGGCCAAGGGCACAGGAAGGAGCGCCCCGAACCCACTGCTTCCTTCCTGAGGTATTTTCTCCCAAGGTAAGCAAAGAACTCCTCCATCACATAAACCATTTCAAAGACAAGCAGGGAGGCTGAGCTGTGTGTTCCAGACAAATCTCCTCGCCCTGCGCGGCCAAGAGCCTTTAATGGAGGGCGGGCGGCACGTGGTGAGGGCCCGAAGGTGCTCAAGGAGCATGTTGACATAAAAAACCCAAACCTGCAGCCCTCGCGGTGTGGCTCAGTTGGGTGGGCATCGCCCCATGCCCCAAAGGTCGCTGGTTCAATTCCCGATCAGGGAACATACCCAGGTTACGGGTTCGGTCCCCGGTAGGGGCCCGTGCAGGAGCCAGCCAATTGATGTTTCTCTCAATCGAACCCCTCCCTTCCTCTCTCTCTAAAAAATCAATTAAAAAAATTAAAAAACAAACATCCAAACCTGCAGAGAATTTGTATAAAAATGTATTTGAGCCAAACACAGGATACACCTGGAAGCAAGATCTCAACAGACTGGGAAGACGCTTCCTAGAAGGGGGGTTGCCGCTTCTTTTATGCCTTTGGAATTAGGGAGGGAACGTAAGGAGGATTACTCGGAGGTGGGAAAAGCAAGGCAGGATGGGACTACCGGAGAGTTAGGGCTGTTGCTCTCTTGAGGGTGGTCACGTGTTAGAAGCGGGGGCCTGACAGGGCGCATTTCAAAGGTGTGTTAACCTAGGTACACAGGAACCACGGACACGGCTGGCTTAGGCAAAGGTAAGCCTTTTACGAAAGAAGCTCTATGCCAGGGGTGTGACTGCCCACCATGACCTGCCCAGTGAGGAGTTTGCAATCAGGTCATCTTGTGAGGTCACTTTCTGTAGAAGCTTTTTTCTTTCTTTCCCACAAGCACCTGGTCTGACAAGTGAAGGTCAGGGCATTCCTGGTCCACCCCCAGGTTCAAGAGAGAAGGCAGCTGACAGAGGCACCGTCAGGATGTGAAAGTGAGCATATTTCATCACGACCTGCAGGACAGAATCCAGCTCGAAGACCTTAAATGCTCATGTACCCCTACAAATAGGACTTGTCCCTTAGATACTCACAGGCCTACACAAATGGGTCTTACCCCTTGAATACTCACATGCCTCTACCAAGAGGTCCTGTTCCTTAAATTACTCACATACCTCTACAAATAGGTCTTACCCCTTGAATACTCACAGACCTACACAAATAGGTCTTGTCTGGAAACAGTGTTCCTTTGTTCAGAGTAGGACCAAAGAGTCTCAGGCCTGGCACTCCCAAGTCGGGCTGTTGCTCACACCCAGAAAGTCCCCTAATGTCTTCACACCCCCTGCACTCTCTCCACTTTCCCTTTCAATCGGGCCTCTGGTCCAGCTGCCTCCGCTCCTTTGCCTGGAACACTCTGGAAAACTGGAAACAATTTAATTACTTTGGTCTCCAAAAGAACTAGGAACACAGCCGAGAAAGAGAAAACCGTATCCAAAAAGGTTTATGTCACTGAATATTTTTCACTTGAATCATCCTTGGTAGCATCCTGAGAAGAGGATGCCAAGATAACACGGCAGGAAAGATCCTTCAGTAATCACCCTGATTCCCCACCAGATCTCGTCCCGACTTTGCAATCTTGGCTCCGAGGTTCCCGAGGACAGGGCGGATCTGGTACAACATACTCAGTTTTAAAAGTAAAACCCATTAGAGCCAAACATTATCAGGACATCTATGAAGTCAACCCCCCTTGCCCACTCGTTCACAATATGCGGGTGAAGGTGGACTTTTGTATGCAGCTCTCCCGGTGGACTGAGAGGGAAAATGCTGGAAACAAGAGGGCAGCCAAGCCCAAGGGATGCTGGGTACAGGCTCCGGGGGTGTGCCTGGGACAATCCGGGCTCTGACAACCTGCCCCCCGCCGCAGTCTCCGTCCCTTCTCTTGTTGGGATACTTTACAACGAACAAGGAGGCTTTCCGTAACACTATGCTTCCAGGAGGCATTCTCACTACGGTTTACTGTGCACATTCTTCAGCTTCAAAACAGGTGAACATGAAGTTCTCCTTTATCGACTCTGTATAAAGAAACACACTCGAGACATTTCCTTTAAGATGAAGGGCAAGGACTTGGGTCTTTTTCCGGCTGGGTCTGGGCCGGGTCACTCCGCCACACCCACCCTCACGCCCAAGCTCTGTGTTCAGCAGCCCGTGGGTGCTCGCACCCTGTCTTCTCCAGGTGAGGTCAGGCTCTATCCGACGGCTACTGGGCTCAGGATTCTGAACACCGTAACCCAAACAGACGGCCCTGCCAGG